GGAATGCAAATTGCCTTGCTACTACATCCATCCTCCAGAGTTGGAATTATGCATGGATGACACATTTATCTCAGTGATGTTATCAAATACAGTGGTGATCTGAGGCATTTACATTGTTATAAGGAGATAACATGGTGTTACATTAGTAATGTTCCCATTGCTGGCATTAGTTGCTATGTAATTTCCAAGAAATACCCTGCAGGTACATAAATAAGTCATGTCATTTCTGAGTGTATTCATTTTGCATGACAAAAAGCTTAAATTCACACTGTCCTTAAAACTTCAGGCATGGTTACTGTGAAGAATAGCTCAAATATGGTATAATTTTTGCACAGAGTTTCCCAGTCTTTGGTAGCATGCACAGGCAGTGTTGAATAGGCATGAACCTCTCCTCTTGGAGATGGTCCCTTTTCTGTTGGACCAGGGTTACCTCTCTCCATCTTGGCAGTACATCCCGTTACACCATGTTGGCATAGACACAGATCATTGCAGTTTTGGTAGTAGAAAGTCTGTCATCTTCTCTACTTGGCGTGGGTGACTAATTGGCATATGAAAAGTTGCTGTCTTTAGGCTAAATGGGCACAGTAGCTAAGTAAAAAAAGGTGGAAGAAGTTCAGATATTTTGTTTGGAGTAGGAGTGTGTGTATGTGCATGACCTGGTTCATAGCCAGCTATACCTGCTGATAGACTTACACAACTTCTGGAGTAAGCCAGTGGTGTTTTTTTAATAGGTACCAAATCCTATTTGTATCCTTGCCCATGTAGAATTGTCACTGGGATCAGGTTTTGCCCAAGGTAATACTTCTGATGAAAGTTCAGGCAGGTTGCAGTGATTGTTTACAGAAGGGTGGATACCTTGCACAACTTTGGAAGAGGTGAATCAGATAAACCCATGCTCCCTGTTTGCTTTTTGTCATTACTCCTACAGAAATTTAAAGAACACTTCCCCAGCAGCTCTAGTTTCAGTGTGGTTTAGAGAGGTGGTGTGATTCAGTGGGCTGGACATGGGTTTCCTCAGTTGTAATGTTATTTATTATTACTTAAACCTGCTCTGAGAGCTATGAAAAACTAAGTTATTCCTCTGAAAAAGAGATGGGACAAACACACACAAAAAGACTGGGTTGAGTATCTCCAAATGGTAAAATTCTTGGAGGTGCCTTCTTAGATGGGAGGCAGGTGGCCAACTTTGGGCTGAGGGTTCTCATCTGGAAAGCTTGGATCTGAGCAAATACTATGCTTAAATGTTCTAACTGAACTAACTGCTGACTAGTAGTTGAAGGTGTGCAATAAATTATAGACAACTTTTCAAACATTCACCTGGGTGATGGAGAGAGGGAGTTTGGCCTAGATGTTTTTCTTTGGCCCAAAAATGAAGTGTTATTAGAAATTATGGCTCTGAATCTGATTACTCTAATGTATTGGGATGTGCTTTTCTAAGAAATACAAGAAATAGGATTATGTGTGCAAACTTCATTCAGCCTCTTAATCTCTGTCAATTCTGCCCTGGCCATTAAGTACATTATCACATAGTCCTTGCACATCAGAACTGAGCTCTTTCAAAAATGAACCCAGTTGCAATGATCTGGGATCTTTCAAAGATGCAGAAGTTGGACTCTGCTTGCTGTTAATGAATGCCACTAACCTGCTCAGTCATTTGCTTTCTCTCAGCTCAGGTTAGAGCTGGAGGCCTTTTTACTGTGCATTATTCAAACCTCAGGATGGAGATGGAGATCTTCATTTCTCTGTGGGCTCTTCATCACTGCAACGTTCAGTGACTTAAAGATGTTAAGTGGTATTTGCTGATGGAGAAGCAGCAGAGACTCAGGATCCTGGTTCCAGCCTGAGCTGTGCAGAGGAGCTGCCCCCAGTGACCACAGACTCTTGCTTACTCTTCCAACATTATGGCTTCTGCACTATTCCCTCCAAAACAATAATTTCCCAGACTTGTCTTGGCCCTGGGCTAGACCTCCTTTTCCAATCTTTAATTTCTTTGCCACCATAATGTCCCTTCCCATCTTTCTGCTCTTTGCCTAGCCTCTCTGAATCGCCCTCTCCAAGTGTCCCTCTCTGGCCTTTCTCACTATATTCCCCCCCTCCTCCTGCTCTCAGTCCCAGGCTGCCATTTCAGGGGCAGCTGGGCCAACATGAATAGGCTGTCCCTGCCAAAAGGGAGGAGATCATATGCTTTGTCTTCTTCCAGACATACAAGATTCCCTGTCCCAAGTTACTCATTTCCTTCCACACTGTGCTGGCTTCTTTCTCTTTTTCATTGGCTTAGAAAAACTTCTCTGTTTAATAGTACTTTTTGTACTAAACGGTACAAAAGACATAGTTTTGTGATTGTTTTCTTTTGGTCAGTGCCTGATTAAATAAGCTACTGCCCTTTCTCCTCCTCTTGGTCCCCACCCCTCCTCTCCTGTGCCAGCACAGATGGCCCTGAAGCCACACTGGGATCTGTGCTGGGAAACCAGTCTTGGTTAGAAGTAGCCCAGCACCAGTGGAAGTCTCTTCTTTCAGACAGGGCCACCACGCAGATTTGGACTGATGCAACTGAAGGGCTGGTAGAAAACTGATGATGAGGAGTTGTGTAAATGGGTGTCATGACTAAGAAAATGTATCAGTGAAACTTCAGTCATCATTTCCTTCCATGTTTCGGTTCCCAGTCTTGCAGGACTAGGAGCAGCCACTGAAATGAAAGTCCTTTGGGGTCCCTGCAGTGGGGAGCAGGGCTGGCAGAAGGAGCTGAGCATGCAGCTCCATGTGCTCTGCCTTTGCACCAATTCTGACCTAAGGAATTTTCCCTCCTTGTGTTTTCAGCCTATTCCTGCCTCTCTGTGGTAAGCTGGATCAGCTTGCTGCTCTGGATGAAGGATATTTTCTTCCTCTCCCCCACCCTGTTTTGTTTGGGACTTTTTTAGCTCTGTTGTGTGGTTCCAGTTTACCATGTGACTGTACCAGTGCAACATGTGTGGGGAGGGAATGGATAGCCAGGATAGAGGGAACATCCCTTTGGCACTGGCTCCTAGCGAAAGTCGTGGTGCCACCCATGCAGTTGTGCCTCCTGTCATGGTATGGAGAGGTACAGAGTGATACAGAG